GTGTGTGTGTGTGTGTGTGTGTGTGTGTGTGTGTGTGTGTTAGAGAGAGAGAGAGAGAGAGAGAGAGAGAGAGAGAGAGAGAGAGAGAGAGAGAGAGAGAGAGAGAGAGAAAGCATAAAAGACTCTCAAGCTTTTCCAAATATTTTCTGCTGTTACTTAAGGATACTTTACCAAAGAAAAAGTAGGGATGATCATAACTCTTATCGATTTTAGGACCACCAATGGATCTTTAATGTGTGCAACTTGCACACGAGACCTCTGAAATTGTTAGCCCTTATCCGAAAAGAAGACAAGTTAATCGATCTTACCTATCTTAAGATCAGGGGGCTGGCGGAAAGACAGCAGTAAGAAGGAGCCAGGAGAAGCAGTACATGTAGAAAGAGTCAGAAGTAAACGGAAGAGGAGGCTGGAGGCCGGGAGTGGGCGGATGTAGAGCGGGGGTGAAGAAAGTAAAGATGAAAGCTGATGTTAGATCATGACTAAAGAACTGGAAAGAGGATGAAAGGAAAACATTTTAGATCATTTTAGAGAACACAATGTTTTCCGCCGCTTTTTTTTTTTGGATGTGTTTTACGGCGCTCGCAACTGCATAAGGTCATCTATTGTGAGAGCGTGGAACACGTAAATTAAACATTTTCAGTTGGTAGGAATTTTTGAATTTTGCCCGGTAGGCGGCCGAAGCCTTCTCTTATCGATTTTAGGCCACCAAGGGATTTTTTGTGCGCAACTTGCACACGGGACCTCCGAGATTTTTCGTCCTTATCCGAGAAGGGTAGGTGTAAATCTTTCCTACCATAAGACCAGGGATGTGTCTGAAAGATAGTTGTAATATTTTGGAGCCAAGGAGTAGCAGCAGAAAGGCTGCAGAAAGAGTCAGGAGCCTAGAGGAGGTGGCAAAGGAGGTGAGGGAGTGGGGCAGAAAGTGGAGACGAAAGTAGTCGATAGAACATTGCTAGAGAGCAGGGAAGGAGGTGAGAGGAGACAATTTTTTAGGCGAAAAATGTCTGTCCCTATCCTGATTCGAACCCGGGACTTATTGAATGAGAGGCGAACGCCTTAACCTCTAGGCCAATTGAGCCCCCCTTTCCGCCGCCATAGGGGTTTCGAACCCTGAACCTATAGAATGAGAACGTATGTCTAGACCACGAGACCAGGTATGATGGTTGACTTGGGTGTTTTTCGGTTGAGGGGCGTAGAGGGGAGGGGGCTGGGTCAAAAAAGTTGATTGGGGGAGGGTGTTGCTGTTGTTTATTTTTGTTTTTTGTTGTTGTTGTATTTGTTATGGTTGTATTGTTGCTGTTACTGTTGTTGTTGTTTTTGTTTGTTGTTGTTGTTGTTGATATTGTTGTAGTTGTTGTTTACTCGGGGGGGGGGGGCGGAACAGGGCAACGAGAATATCCGGTATTGATCTTATTTATATTTCAAGTTAAGGTCAAACCTTGTCCATTCCCAGGTGTTGTCCTGGACTCTGGCCACGAAAAGACCCACTCTCTGTCGGTCCACGACGGTCAACCGTTGCCCAGCAGCATTCAGACTCTGGCCCTGGGCGGCCGTGACCTCACGCAACACTTAAGGACGCTGCTCCAAGGTCGAGGTCACAGTCTTGCAGGAACGGCGGGGTTAAAAGTCGCACGGGACATCAAGGAGAAGCTTTGTTACGTCACGGAAAATCTTCAGGCGAAAATGAACCCAACGAGTGCGGTGACGTCTCAGGTGATTTGAAAATGTATCAAATTTCGTTTTTGTTTGCTTTTGTATGTTGGTGGTGTTTGTTTTGCTTTTGTTTTTGTTTTGTTTTGGGGGTTTTTAATGAAGGGGAGCACGTCGTCGGGATAACAACGATATAGCACCTGGAAAAAAAAAAGAAAGATAGACAGAAATGACAGAGTGGAAGAAAAGAAGTAGGACTTATCAACGGCACCCCCATTAATGAGAAGAAGAAGAAGAAGAAGAAGAAGAAGAAGAAGAAGAAGAAGAAGAAGAAG